AATAAAGCGGGAGCAAATACAGGCTGTAGCATTTTTAACTTTGAAGGATTCTTGTTAGTTACTGTGGGAAATATACTTGTTCAAAACAACATATTCCACTGTTGAAATTTCATGTAGCAATTAAAATCTTTCGGAAAGTTATATTAGTTAACAATAGCTGTAGATAATGTATTTAAATATTCAGAATACATAAAACGTTTATGCTGTTGAACAATCCCATGTTCAGTGTGAAACCTATGTCTAATGTTTATTGGTTTTTAATAGTACTCTGGTCTATCCCAATCTACGATGAACACTACTAACATCTCCTTCATTTTTCTAATGACTGGATTCATACGATCTCTTTATACGTTTTTTACGAAGTACCTGGAAAAAAATTCATACTAACACTGTGAATACCTTAGATATGTGCATAATCGATCATGATTTCTCAGTTCTGACACTGATTGATTGAGGTTGAACATTACCACTGTTAGATGCCTGTTTAAAGGTCCAAATGTTAAACATTCGCATGTGAGAAAGAATGTGGTGACTTTGATTTCCGCATGCGGGGTTGTGAATGCGCACTGTTGAGGAGTCCCGTTGTAGAAAGAAACGGTCGTCAAGTTATTTAAACTTTTCAATAGTGCACTAACATTGATCAATCTATGATTTCGATTAAATTACAACAAATTAATTATCACAACCAAACTTTATAAGGGAAAATGAAAAAAGTAAATTCATTAAACATCCAATTAATTTATATTCAAAGCATTTTGATCATTTCCAACTACTTAACAATCACATTAAAAAAGATTTATGCAGGTTTCTTTTTTTTCATACAGCAGTGATGACTGTAGTACAAACAAAAAGGAATCTAGGCATCTAGAAGATTTACATTAATGACCTACTAGTTTAATGCAATATATTCTGTTATCTTAGTGAATCATAAGTTTGTCAAATGAGTCTGTGTTTAAGTACCATTTCTTTGTGATATGAAATAACTTATCTACTGCATTAAAGCAAGGAAGTTGATATATTGAAACCATTGAATAGTATTCAGTCGAATTGAAATCTGCATGTTTGACGTTTCTAACTTCATTGTGATTGTGTTTTTTTGAAACCATGAATCGATCAGTGTTAGACCGCCATTAGAAACCAGGAAGCACTAGAACTGAAATTTTAAAAGTAACGTTCAACGAACTTACAACACGATAAAATAAACAGAATTAAAAAAAACGATAACAACCAATTAGTTGAAGATTAGTGCTATCAGGGATATATCGAAATTATCCTTCAAAGGAAAAGCTAACATGATTGACAAAAGTTTTATTTTTGAAACCATGAATCGATCAATGTTCAACCACCATTAGAAACCTGGAAGCACTGGACGGCCGTTTCGTCCTGGTATGGGACTCCTCATCAGTGCGCATCCACGACTCCTGCACCCCGCAGGATTCGAACCCGGGACCTTCGGTATTGTGCGCGAACGCCCAACCATCGGACCACTGAGCCGGTATCTAACTTAACAATCTTCAGAACCCCGTAATACAATTCATTGTGATTGAACAAGATTTTGTAGCAGTGTTAGAGTCATGTAAATCCATTATTAATGAATGTTCATAGCTTTTGTAACAGCTTAGAATGTGAATGACTACCGATCAATAATTTATTATCAACTGTTTTCATGCTGTCATTGGACAAGAAATTTTCATAATCAGTCTAGTTGTTTATATCTACGTTAATAACTAACACTGAGTGTTTCTAAGTATACTAACTCCACAAATTGAATCAATCACATCAGTCGCTAGGGTTGTCAACTGGGTTTGCGAAGTTGAAATAAATAGTTTGAGTTTATTTTTTATCACATAATGAACTGAGAAAATACTTAACTCTTAAGAAGTGATGTTCAGTCTTTTTTTCTAACTAAATGATCTTTAAAAACCCAAAATTTAATTACCATTATGTTGTATCCACTGGTGACTGGCTGTAAGATAGATTTTTGTGCTAATGGTAAAAATCTATAATTAGTGATATTCAACCATTTCAAGTTTGTTAATGCAAAATTTAAAGGTTTAATTTACTAAGTTAAAGTTATTGCAATTAAGCTTTGACATTAATTAATATGACTGTTCATTTATTTTACTTAACTATTTATATGAACAAAATCTATGCCAATCTAAAATTTACTTTTAAACCTTAGATCTTTTTGTTTAATTTCAAGTATATACATTATCTAAAACCTAGAAAAAGAAATACGCTTTATAACTAACTCTTATTTTTAGCGTACTACTACCAGAAGGCGCGATTGGCTTTTTCTGACCTGCATCAGTTATGGCTAAGGCAATATATCCGTTTTCTGACTAAAGGACGAGTTTACTGTGCAGTAGTTCGCTCCGTCCTACTTTGTGGCTGTGAAAAATGGCCAGTCAGAGTAGAAGATATTCGTAGATTGCTTGTCTTCGATCATAGGTGTCTCAGAAGCATAGCTCGTATATCCCGGGACAGCCGAATAACCAATGCTGTCGTTAGGAAACTAGTTCTAGGTAGGTATGGCAAATCAATAGATGAAGTAGTGAAACTTCATCAGTTGAGGTGGTTGGGACGTGTGTTACGTATGGCCAACCACCGACTGCCTCGACGAGCTATGTTTTGTGGTGTAGGAGTAGGTTGGAAGAAAGCTAGGGGCGGCCAAGCCAAAACACGGCAGAAATCCATGAAGCCACTGACTAGTGGATTGAGTCATGTTGGTAGATGTAGACTACCTGGTTGGGTTCCGTGAGACGAAAGTCACCAATGGTTAGAGACCTTGAACGACATGTCTCAAAATCGTTTGCAATGGCGCAAGTACATCCATTCTTTGTGTTCTCTCAAATCCTTATCTTCTGGATTCGTCAGCACCTCTACCTTTGTCTTTCTAACCTTATCTCACTGAATTATACTTCTTGAATAATATCTTCGAACCCTAGTCTTCTTCATTACCATTAATACCTCTACTATCTCTATCACTATGGGATTTGATTTGACATTTGTGTCTCTGTGCTGATGTGGTATGGCAACCTGAACTTATGTACATACGTACGAAGTTCTACGTTGCAACTGACTGACTGACTGATTGAGTGGTCAGTGTCATGTACTGTAAGTCAATCAATTGTAAATACGTATCACTCTCATAAGAGGTTAGTCAAGGCCTAAATAACTTGATGATAACATCTCTGACTGTGAGGCTGGATGATGCAGGATTGAATTACTCAGAGAGCATTAGTTCCTTCAAGAGGGAAGATACACCTACCACTGAACCTAGGTTCATAGATTCCTGTTGACTGCCTCCAACTATCCATTATTTCAACAAACATTAAACGACACTCATGTTAAATTGCCAACAGACTGAAGTTGATAATGTGAACACTATTCGGTTTTAAAATTATTAGTTTAAAAAGAAATTTGTAAGTTTTATATTTCTTCTAGTTTAGAATAAACACTATTTCTATTGTTAAAGATTTCAAATTAATCTATCAGTCTTTGATATCTTAGAAATCTGAAACTGACGTTGATTTATTGTGAAATCGAATTTATCTACTTTATCTTACACATTGTCTTAACATTTTAAATTATTTAGGCTAAGCACATGGGGACAGTTCTATTGTATGGAGCGGAAACTTAGAGAACTACCAAAGCCATCATCCAGAAGATACAAGTATTCATTAACAGTTATCTTCGCAAAATACTTCTGATTCGTTGACCAGACATGATCAGCAACAACTTACTTTGGGAGAGAACAAACCAGATTCCAGTGGAGGAGGAAATCAGGAAGAAGCGGTGGAAGTGGATAGGACACACACTACGAAAAGCACTCAACTGCGTCACAAGACAAGCCTTCACATGGAACCCTCAAGGTCAAAGGAAATGAGGAAAGCCAAGGAACACATTACACCGAGAAATAGAGAAAGACATGAGAGGAATGAACAAAAACTGGACAGAACTGGAAAGGGAAGCCCAGGACAGAGTTGGATGGAGAAAACTGGTTAGCGGCCTATGCTCCATTGTGGGTAACAGGCGTACGTAAGTAAGCACATAAGGACATAACTTAAAGTACTCAATGGTACTTATTAGGTTGGCATAACTAAATCCACATGAAAAATGATCAAAGAAGTATGTGCATATCTATATACATATGTATGTATGTTATCCATAGAGATTTTTTTTCCTAATACACTTATAAAAACACATTTTATAATTCATTTCATTGTAATTCGTGAATGATTAATTTTGAAATAAAATAAAAAAAAGAGAACGAAAAGGAACACATTGAATTGAAGAAAATTCAGTTTTTAATTAGCCTTTTACATTTCTCTCCCTTTATATTGATAAGTTGATTAATTTTTGCTCACTTTTAACCTTCATTCATTATCTTATGACTGGATGAAATTATTTTAATCACGAGTTAAACTAACAAAATTGCTATTAAAATTTTTGTCAAAAGTAGAATATTCTTCTACTCCCAAATTCATATATACACATATATATATAGATAGATAGATATATAGATATATTAATTATTTTGTTACTCTTACCTATCTATCGTCATTTTCATCATTTATTAGTTTAAGTGATTTTATATTTTCGAAAATATTACTGAATGATTTGAACATTGAACTGGATAAGATTTAAACAAATTCTATGCTATTGCTACAACCAACCTAAATCTATCAAAATTTCATTATTTTTTTAAAAATACTTTATAACTCATATATAGTTTAGATTTGCCAGAAAACTGGATGTATTATTATCATTATTTATGAATATTATAGTAAAGTGTCTTGTAAATTCCTACGCATTTTTATGCCAATATATTCATTCCATCATGAATACTTGAGTTGACAATAGACTGTACAAACATTTTTCAACACTGATTATGTGTGCTATTCAATAATTGAGGAATTATTTTTTTCCTGTTAATAATTCCAAAGGAAAAGTATACTTCTCTTTCAATATCCTATTATCATTATTTTCAAGGCATAATGTATGGTTTATTATTGGAAGGATTACGTAACTTTATCATAACTAAATGGTCCCAAGAATTATGGATTGAAATATGTACACAAGCGAATTCAACGGAAATGCAATTTGAAACACGTAAAGTATACGATGAAGCATTGTTGCCGAATTTATTTCAAACTAGTGCTAAAGTACTCGAGACACCTGAAGATGAAATTAAATTCGGTATGGGTACATCATTTGTTGACTATGTTGGCGGTAAAGGTTATAAAGGTATATTACGTGTGCTTGGTAGAGAATTACGTGATTTTTTAAATGGTCTAGATAATTTACATGAATTTCTACGTACAACTTATCCAAAAATTCGACCACCATCATTTTTCTGTGTGAATGAAAGTAAAACAGGCATTACACTGCAATATCGTTCACATCGTATTGGATTTATACCATTCTTTTGTGGATGGATGACTGAATTATCAAGAGTTTTATATGAGAAAGAAATGAAAATTGAAGTAAGTTGCTTTTTACGAAAAATTAAATAAACAGATAACTTTTTTTTCAAAACTCAAAAAACTAAGCTTAAATAACTTTTTTTAATACATTGGTTTTACTGAAATCTCGAATCAATCAATATTTATGTTTATAAGTGAATAAAGGGTGTTAGTTTGAATGCAAGATGAACATTTACAATTTCATTATTGTTAGCCCTGAGTGAAGTATATGCTGCCGAGCAGTATTCTCCAACCTACTCTATCCTGTGCTTTCTTTTCCAACTGGTGTTCATTTTTTGCATTTCTGTTTCCAGTGCTCAGCGTAATGTGTTTGGTGATCTTCCTCGTTTACTATCAGGTTGTATCTTTTCATTTTTGCAGCAACTTGGATGACTCTTCCGGTCTCGCACAATGTACGAACATTCCATGTGCCTGAATTAATGGTTGTTCTGGTTGTTAGAAGGGGCATAGACCTTGTGAATCCCAAAAGAACTCTACTTTCGTCATGAGACGTCATAACTCTTTTAAACCAAGACCTTCTAACTCCTATAGCAGAGATTAAATAGTTTGAATTATCTTTGCTGGCTAGTGTTTTTCAACGAGTTAGTTTTTCACGGGATAGGGTTACTAATCCCAAGCTCAAATCTTGAATTAAGTTTTTGATGTAGATTTAAAGTTAGTTTTTTTTAAATCACGCGGTGATATCATCTTGTATATTCGAAATTATTAAGCTTACACTGTTGATATGAAGTAAATATTGAAATTGCATACTACTATCGATCTTTTAATGTATACAAGCAAGCAATTCATTCATTATAATAAACAGTAACTTTGATCTGTTTTAAAATCTTCATAAACAATCACCTTTTGTTCTAATTGATGATAGTTTAATGAGCTACATTAAATTCAAAGTAGAGCTAACCATTTTGGTGGCTAGAGATTTGGATGATTGTTTAAATATGCTATAAAATAAATCTTCCCTTAAAATTTCCGTATATCATTGTCAGGCGAACTTTATTTGTGCAACCGCAGTAATAAGAAGTCACATATGGATTCATTCGGATGTAATCATCCTTACAGACAAAGATGAGAATACTAAGTGTAAAAGTAAAGTAAAGCAAAATGGATAAGGTGAATGAACCAATTCATTTCGATAAGGCATGACTAAGTATTTCTAGTCAGATAAAATTAAACTAGACATGTGATAAGTGAAGTAAGCAATGCACACACGCAGTACCCAAATAAAAATTACCAAGGTCATTAGCGAATAATTGACAAGGTCGAACAATGTGTGAATAATGGGTTAATTGATTTATTCAAAGGCTATATATATCACAAGTCATGTGGTCTTAACATATTAGTTAGTACACACTGCAATAGTTTCACTTATCCATTTTGAGTAGTAATCTAATTTAATGTCAATTGAATAGTTGTTTCATCTTTATTTGTAACTGTTTTAAACATCTACGATGGTTTTGCAATGATGACTTGATTAAGTTAATTCACAAATCTAAAATGAAATTGTTTATACGTGATGATTTAACAATATGAAGTTGAAATTAACAGCAAGTATTATTTAATGGAAAATTATTGTTAAATTTCATATTGTAGTCTTGAAGCATGAAGTGATGCGTTCTGCTGAATATTATTAAAGGACTTATTTTTCATGGTGTTTTTTTTAATCGTCGGTTGACCGGTCATTTTAAACATTGGTGATTCCTATTGTACTTGTATAAACTATTATGGTTTATCAATAAGAAATAATCACAAGACTACAGTAGTAGGTCATTGTCACAGATTGATATGAACTGCTTGACGAATGACGACGGGAGAGCATTTGAAAGTTGCTTTGTTTCAACTTGGGAGCCTTTATTAATGTATGTCAATAACCTAGACATGGTTTAAACTCAATACTTTCATGCTTCACAGCTAAAGCATAACATTTAAATTGCTCATAACGAATTTACTTAGAATCTGTTAGTCATTGAAATCAAGTAAACAACTAATCATCTTTGATGGAAAGCTACAATCTAATAGTTTATTTTGTATAGCATACAAAAAATGTCTGTCCAATATAGTCAAACTAACCTTGGGTCAGATCGATGAGTTGACAGAACTCAAAACACATGTTATATAATCAATTATGGTGCCTTTTTTCGGTTATAAATACTCTGTAAAGTTTAGAATGATTATTATCTGACAAAAAATGTTCATTAATGCTTCACTGATACTTAAAAGTCTCTTGACGTGCTCCGGTTTATGATAAAATTCTAATCGTGGTGTTTTTGTAAATCATTTTATTCATGTAATAAATTGAAGAAGGTAGGTCACAATCGATATGGCTAACAACTAATTATTGTCTGTTATTACGTAGATAGTTATGTATCCTACAGAGAAGTTTTAGAATTGTGATGAAATACCCGTTAAACACTCTATGGTTTTCACTAATTCCTTGATTGAAATCAGCTGATTATGAGAGAACTGGGGCATAGGTTGACAAAATTCGATTAGCAGTTGGATAGGATAATAAAGAAGATCTGTAGCCCAAAGTATTACTCATGGTGCCAATGGGTTTGTGAAGCTGGATTATTTGGTTTTAAATATCTCGGTGTTGTTATGGACAAAGTTATCAGCGCCTACTTTGGTAGAATCGAGCTTCCTAATAATTTCACGAATATTAAGTTATCCATTCTGATGACCTTGTTCCTAGTTAACCGCTTATCAATTAGGACTGCCTGCAATCTTAACAGAACCGATAGTTATCCGAACACAGTCCATGTGTTGGACCGGTGTTCATATGATAAATTGGTTAGCTAGAATCTCACAGCATCATGAACTAGATCAGTATGATTTTGGCTACTGTTCAGTGATCATCTAGAGTAATCGGTCCATTATGTGCTCATCGACTAATTTTGTGTCTATATATTTCTAGAAAAGATCAGATACCAAATTAATAATTTCGTTTTTATTTTATGAAGAAGTGGATTATACTGAGTCACTAAAAATCAGAAAGTTTTAAGTTTTCTATTTATTGGGATACTACTACATGGCCTGAATAGCTCGGTAGTATCGTTTAGATTTCGAAACTGACTGTTGTGAGTTCGAACCTCACAAGCAGTGTCAGTCCATTTCAAAATTACAAATGTGACTCTTTGATGAGTTCTAACTAGCCCAAAAACTAAGTCCATTGTCGTATACAGACCACGTTCAACTACGTAACACGTCATTTCCAGTATGAATAAAGGCAAATAAATTCTTTTTGAACAATAAGACTTATTCCACACACATAAAATGATCCATGATTCGAATTTGTAAGAATATTTTGCTCAATTTTACTAAGGAAAATAATACAAACATTGGAATTTTTTTCATTCTACGAACACTACTCTAACTAGAGAGATATTTCTTTTCAGTTGTCTTCTGTTTTAGGAAATGATTGAAAATTTTTTTTTATATCGATCTGTAGTAGCAAATCTATCAGTAAAATTCAGCGCTAAAGAATGAAGGATAATTCATATTGTGTTTATGTGTGTTGCTATATCATCTATTCCCAGATATGGTTTAAGAGGTCATAGACAACCCAGTAGTGCGACACTCTTGTCAAGCGACAAACACCACTAAGATAGCTTAAACTTACACTAATCTTGAGTATTTTCTGCTGATCGATAATTTTTCTAGTTTCGGTGGTAAAACGTCAAGCGAGAACAATGATTAAGTTTCAATGTATCGAGAACATTTTAGGTTGAAATGTTCTAAGTACGAAAATTATTTACTGATAAAGGGATTATATATTTAAGTAGAACTGCCACTTATGATTTATTTTGGGGCAGAGTTTTGGAGGTTTGTGTTTTTACACATTTAAAATCATCAATCAATCATTGTTAGACCATCATTAGAAAACTTGAAGCACTGGACGGCCGTTTCGTCCTGGTATGGGACGAAATCAGCAGTGCTCGTCCACGACTCCTGCTCCTCGCAGGATTGATGATTCCAAATGTGTAAAAACACAAACCTCCAAAACTCTGCCCCAAAATATCGTAACAGTGCTCGCTAGTGACTAGCTTCATGAGGAAATTTTCGGAGTTCTAGTTGAGAAGACGTGATCAATGGAGTTTGAACCTGTCGGTTGTAGACAGTAACTACCAAAGACAAATGGGTGAGGTCGCGCAAAATCCCTACATCAGTCAGAGTTAGATATTAACACCGTTGGATGCCGACCCACTGGTCCGATGGTTAGGCGTTCGCGTATAATACCGAAGGTCCTGTGTTCGAATCCTGCGAGGTGCAGGATTGTGGATGCGCACTGCTGATGAGTCCCATACCAGGACGAAACGGCCGTCCAGTGGTTCCAGGTTTTTAATGGTGGTCTAACTTATGATTTTATTTATATTGTGATGATTAGATTAATTCGGAAACGAAAATACCTAATTATGGGGAATATTTAGTTCTTTTGATACAATGAGGGTATCATTCTATGTTATGAGTGATGTATATATTATTCCCAAAAAGTCAAGACCACACCAGTCATTAAAACTCTGAATTCACTAACAATGTTACAGTCTTTTTGACATTACTGCTTTATTCTGACTAAATGGAACATTATTTCATCAAATCATGTTTAAAAATGGGTGTAACTGGTTTATTTCAATGTCTGCGAAAATAAAGCAGTCGATTTTATTGATTTTTTCCCCAACAAAGTGTGCTTCTCTGATTGGTTTTCAAATAAATAAATAACTAAGAAAAAATGTAAATAGTTTATTGTAAATCAGTATTTTATTCCCTAATCAATGGTCTATTGACCAAGATGGTTAACAAGTTTCAGTCAGTACTAACAACTATTTCATACGAATATAGTTTGAGTAGGTTTTGTTGGAAGATCCTGAAAACTTCGAATGATTGAGATAACTTAGAAATATATAATCGAAAGTTAAAACAATTTTCTTTTGACAGCGACATTATGTGTATCTCCGTTTTTTCTACTGTATTCAGACATTTCATTGAATGTAAGGATAAGAAGAGTCAGTTTTATTGTTTATTCATCTATTAGTCAATGTAATGTAACAAATTTACGATATGATCAAACAAAGCTGTTAGGTTCGTCATTTGGTATGCTTGGAACTATTACGGGTTCACCTTAGCTGATAAATGAGAACGAGACAATGAACCAGCGTCCAGGTAGGCTACCCTGATCCGTTGACTCAAAAAAGCTAACGAGAAGTCTTGATATGGCGTAGAAAGTATATTCTGCAAACACCCAGTAAGCACAATACAATCAATCACACAAATCGCGTTTATTTATACATCATACAAACGTCCTTGGGACAGTCACAAAAATAGCACATCAAAATACACACACAGTAACCAATCACAACCAAGGATTTTCCTGATGGGAAATGAAATCTCAAGGTCAGCTGATCAGTTCATGCTCGGAAAGATAGATTCCAAAATAAGGCATTTATCAAGCGAGTTCTGAGGATCTAACGTCCCCAGCAAAAGCAATGCAAAATTTATTTATTGTATAGAAAATTTTTGTTCATAATAATTCATCATTTTATCATGATTTATATATAAGGCAGGTGTATATGTGTCGATTTAATTAGCTAATAGTTGATCGCGGTTATTGACTTGTCTTTCAAATACTAATCAAAAATTGCTATGTTAGTCCATTTTGTAGTGATATGTTTAGTTCGGAAATGGTTTTATTCATAAATTTACATTAACTGAAGAGAAGTAGGAAATTATAGATTCATTTTATCATCGCATACGAAATACAATCCAGAGCTTTCAGATCGTACATCAATCTTGATACTAAAAGACTACTGAGTTTGTGTTTCAAAACTGACAAAGCAACCGAACATGCTGATCATTAAGGATTCTTCAAGCCGGATTCGATTTGTGATGAAAATTATTGTTAAACCTATAAAAAAGCTTTATGACATTGTCAAGTACTAATTTGGAACATGTTTACTGTATGCCTGAATCATTGATAATCGAAACACTTATACAACTAAAGTGAATGATTGTACATTGAAACTGAAATATCTTAACCTAAATTGAATATTGTTAGGACGTTAAAGATAAATTCAATTGAAGTCAGTTTTCAATTATCAGTTTTCACATCATACAAACCAGTTAGTTGAATCTTGAATCAGTAGTTTAGAGGCAGGGAATTTGAAAACTTCTATAGTTTACACTTCTTTTAAAAAACCAATCAGCAAAACAGAGACAATAATGTCAAACTAGATAGTATAATTATTTGATGTAGAACTTTCGTTTCATTGATTAGGCAATTATGCTGAACGGCAGTTGTAATTATAACTGAGAGTAAAACCTATAGACATAAAAGCGTACTGAACGATGACTATTCCGCGCATATTTTAAGACAATTGACTGTTTACTGTGGACACTAAATGTAAAATATGAGTGAGGAGGTTGAGTTATAGAAACAATTAAACATTCATTATTTCTGTAATTTCACTTGTGGAATGAGATATATATTTCAAGGTGTGAACACATCTAAAGCATTTTCACAGGAGAAGTAGGCATCAATACAGAGAACAGAGGATGACAGTGATTTTATTTCATGCGTTTAATCATTTCAGAGTTGCAAAAATTTAATGGTAAAGTAAGTCATATAGAGAGAGAAAGTTTAGAATGAGATCATTGTATCAATCATAAAGAGTTACGGATGCTATATAACTAGACTTTTCTACGCAATCAGTCACATTATCGGATGTAAAAGTTGATCAGACATTTTGAATAAACAGTTGACATTTTAATTTAAGTCTTAGCTTTTATAAAGGACCAGGTTCAAACTTATTACACCGGAATTTATTGCTCAAGCTATGTAGATCATCCCTGAACCAACTGCAGCCTTAATTTTTACTGTATGCGAACACTACCAGGAACAAAAGCATGGTATTCTTGGAGTGGTTGGACACATACTTTGTACAGTAAAATACATATATCATTTTTATAGAGTTTGCAATAATATTAAAATCATAATAGATAGATCTTTCAATAAATTACCCAAATGAATAATAATTGTATGTTAATTGGTTGCAAGATACATTTCCTGAACTTTTAATGGAAATATGTGACTTGTGAATTGTGTGGCAATTCATCAAACATGATTGTGTCACATCATAAATTGTGAATAAATTTAGAAATTTTGACTATAGAATTCTAATGTGTATTATTTATCAAAGTATCGTGATTTTTAGGGTATTTGAATATTCTAGCTTCATTGTTACTGGAAGTTATGTGTGATGTTGAACTGTTTGAAACATGCAAAAAAAAACAATTGTCTACTATCTTTCCTGTTTTGTTTTTAATGACTCTTAATTTGACATTAGTGTGTTATAATAACGTACGCCTTTGAAAATCGCCAAATTATCCGACTGAAAATTAAGTTACCTGATAAAGATATAAATATTTAACTAATGTTAGTTCTTATCTACTCAAGTTGGACCGTTAATGATGCGATGACTTAATTTAAGTAACATCACTCTGAAGTTACACTGTCTGACGATTTACTTGTCTAGCTCATTTTTAACACGGTGGCCAGGAGATCATGTTTCTTTACCAAACGAAAACATATACGAGGTAATGTATATTTACCAAACAGAGCAGGTTAAAGTAAGGCTGTACACAAAAGGCTGCCAATCGGCCTTTTGTATTTACTCCATGGCATAGCCTGATCTGTTTACATTCATTGTCCATGAGATCTCGGTAATCTTTCATCAGCCATTCAGCATCCATTGATCAGTCTTCTTATAAAGCATGGAGCTTGATAGATTTCCATAGTGGAAATTAGAACAAAATATGTAAGCGAATAATATTATTGTTTTCGATTCGATCGTCATCAGGCTTTACTCTCTAATATACATGAATATTTACATGAAAATGTTAAACTAATCAAGGCAATTTATGAGACAATAATCACAATGAAATGAAATAGATTCCGTCACTCAACACATAATAGGCAAAAGTATAAGTTGATAATAGTAGGAAGACAGGTGAGTACTGATAGTAGTAGTCAGAGAAATATGAAATGCGATAATAAACTAGAGTTATGGAGATTAGTGTTTGTACACATTGAAATCATCAATCAGTCATTGTTAGACTATCATTAGAAACCTGGAAGAACTGCACGGCCGTTTTGCATCCACGACTACTGCACCACACAGGATTCGAACACGAAGCCTTCGATATTGTGCGCGAACGCCCAACCTCTAGACTACTGGGCCGGCATCCAACGGTGTTAGTGTCTAACTCCAATCAATCTACAGATTTTGTGCGACCTCACACATTTATCTTCGGTAGTTACTGCCTATAATCGAGAGGGTTGAACTCCACTGGTGACGTCTTCCCACTAGATCTCCAAGAATTTCCTCACGAAGCTAGTCACTAGTCAGCATATTTTATGATATTTTCAATTAGAGTTATGGAGATTAGTGTTTTGTTTACTCATTTGAAATCATTACGATAATAAACGTTTTATCAATGGTAGGTCAAACATGGATAACTAGACTCTTAAAATAATCCATGCAAAACATTAAAACCTTAACGTAATAAGAAGTGTGTACATAATTAGATAGTGAATAATATAAACGGGAATAGGCAGGACATTACCAATAGATGACAAGATGGTTCAGTGTTCTTTTACTAACCCTGCAAAGGTTGAAAATGTCACGAAACTATAAGTTGTATCAACACATTCTTATTTTATGAATGAATATTTGACATGTTTTGAAAACTTTCCATTCTCTAATCTACAACATTGAATTCATCTGAATAAGCGGTTTCTTTTTCTTGTTTTTTTTACATATTAAATTCTTTTCTTCATAGATCGTTGGTCAAAATGATCGTGGTAAACAAATTGAAACAATTCTACGTTTACATTTTCAAAATCTTTCATTTGCTGAATTAGATGAAGAATTGCCTGTACCAGCAATAGTTTTCTTTGAAGCATTCCCATTTAATTTTGTATTTAATCGTGGTATGACATTATTGAATATTGGTAGAAGTATGGCTAATGCATTGCCGAATATAGTTGGAAAAAAAGTAACCGATATATTTATACTATGCAGACCAGTTATACCATTCACATGGGATGATGTAAGTATGATTGATGTTATAAGAAGAATAGTTGTTTTTTCTTTGTTAACTGGTTTATTTCTCGTTTCACTTGATACAATATTCTAAAGTGTAATAATTTAGAATTGACAAGTTATGGCTAGTGATCGCATCCAAGACACGCGTTTCGTCATAATTAGAACTCTTCAACTATAATCCTGACATTGATGTTCACAACCTTACTCGAAAACCAGTGCTTTTCATATCAAACATCAACGCGTCACTGACTGAGCCACTGAATCGTAAAGAAGATATTCCATTTACATTAGATATACACTTTATGACTTGTATTATAAATAGCTATAACACAGCACTTATCACAGGATGTCTGTATGCCAATAATGACTGGTCAAAATTGGTTCCTAGTATCAACAATCGAATAAATTAACAAGTTATTAATTTAAAACCAGTTATTTTTGCATAAAATATACTAAATTTCATTTTTATTAAACATTTCACATTTTACAGTTAGATAAGAAAACCCCAGTTTCTTATCATTTAAGCCTTGCGATATTGTGAGGATTCAATAGAAACTGTAAGGTATCAAAAGATGATAATGGTCGTATTTGCTATGATAGAAATCGCAATGAGCTGACAGCATTTTGACATATAAACTAATCTTCAAAAACATAAAACTGGTTTTGTCTAGGAAATTTGAGATTGCCAGAAAATTGTTTGTTTTAGCTGTGAACGGATTTGTATGGAAGGAACATGTGAGGTATTGTAGTACCATTACAAAAGATTATCACTTAGTGCTGTAAGATATATTAAAGAGGTTAAGATATTTAAGGGTTTTATCCCGGATGATCTCTAGAATCTTCCATATTATGTCTGAGATATGTGTTCGTTGCTGAAATCCATAAATTGAGGTAACCAGCAGCGAATGCATACATGACAACAGGATTGATGAAATTAAAACATGAATACCGACAACGAGATAAATGAAACCTATATTAGTAATGATTTTGATACCTGATACACTTTATACAATAAAATAACCAATAACAATAATACGGGATCATCAATCGATCATTGTGAGAACACCATTAGAAACCTGGAAGCACTGGACAGCCGTGTGTGCTGACTAGTGACTAGCTTCGTGAGGAAATTCTCGGAGTTCTAGTGAGAAGACGTGACCAGTGGAGTTCAACCCTATCGGTTGTAGGCAATAACTACCGAAGACAAATGGGTGAGGTTGCACAAAATCTGTAGATTGATCTGAGTTAGACACTAATACCGTTGGATGCCGGCCTAGTGGCCCAGAGTTTAGGCGTTCGCGCGCATGATCGTATGTCCTGCGTTCGAGTCCTGTGTGGTGCAGTGGTCGTGGATGCGCACTTCTGATGAGTGCCGTACTAGGATAAACGACCGTCCATTGGTTCCAGGTTTCTAGTCGTGGTCTAAAAATGAATGATTGATGATTTCAATGTGTAAAAGCACTAATCTCCATAGCTCCAGTTGAAAAATGATGCAGGAGCCATATTGTTATACTAGAGTGTTAGTTCTTTTCTATGTTTCACGACAAAGTTAACTGTCTGACATCTAAAGAGATTAAAGATAGAAACATACAAAACCGAATACTTTTTAGTACATTACTGTCATAAAAAATAATGATTAGATTTAATTATTTACTTAAAGAATCCCAGTAGATTTTTCAAATATTGTATATTTTTATATGACATGGAGTAATGTTATTAATAGTATCTCAGCGATTATCATCATATAAATCATGAATCGACCATTGTTAGACCACCATTAGAAACCCGGAAGAACTGAACAGTCCTCTGTTCCTAGAATGAAACTTATCGGTAGTGGGCATCGTTGACCCGCACTCGCCGGAATCGAACCCATGACCTTGCATCTCATATACGAAAGCTTAACTTCTAGACCTGTGGGCCGGTATCCAACAGTGTTAATGTCTAACTTCAATCAGTCCCTTATATTGCATGACCTCATTTATTGTCTTCGGTGGGTCAACTCTGCCCATACGCGACAGGGTTGAACTCCATCGGCCATCGCTTCTCACTAGAATTCAGCGAATTTTCTCTTGAAGCTCGTCACTAGTGTGTACATTTTTATGATTTTTCATTATAGAGTTATGGAGATTATTGAGTTTCATTGAAATTATGAATCAATCACCGCTAAGCCACTGTTTGGTTCCTGCATGTGAGGGTTTCGCACGTGCACTACTGATGAGTTCCAGTCTAGGATGAAACAACCATTTACTGCTTCCAGGTTTCTAATGGTACTCAGGCAATGATCAATTCATAATTTCAATGAAACTCAATTTTATAATGGTTATTATCAAATTAAACTGTATATGTTTGTCCACTTCCTTTTAATTCAATGAGAAGTGAATATGTGAATATAAGTGTGAAAGAGACAAATTTACTTTGTGGTTTTGAGAAGAAAGATCAAATCTTATTTAAAAAAAACAGAACAATAAACGAATAGAAATCTGTGTACTTTGATAACACAAACAACACTTGACCACACCCATAAAAATTTTCTTTATCTAATCATCGTTACACAATATATGAATAAAAGAATAGAAGGTACAATCTATAAATATGTGTGTAAATGTGAATATTAGCCAAACATGTCAATTATTCCCTCCTCCCCTCCCCGCCGTTTGTATGTTGTAATAGCATGAAGACAACAATGAAACAATGTGATGATGAATAGACTTTACTCGTTCCAATGTTCTTGTTTTCTTGTTTTAATCGTTTTGTTTAAACAAAATGAATGACTATGTGTGTCTGTGTGACTGTGTGTGTGTGTGTAGTTTCCAAACTGTAATCGAGGTTCATACAACCTCATGGTTACTAGGACAACTAAATTTATAGTGGACAATAGCTTGCAAGCTTTAATATTTGACAATAGACTTAGAAAAAATAAAGTACAACTTAATGTAAATCAAAGACTGAGAGAGAGAGAGAGAAAACGACTTTTACAATATAAAATTAATTTTTTAAAAAGTTAGTACTTACTTGAATAAAAGCTAGTAAATCAATAAAATGGTCAAGTGGCTGTGGAATTGTTACTGTTCTATTAATTGTACAGATTAATGGTGGAAGTGAGATTTTTGTAAATACACGAAACACGGTAAACGGATGACAACGTAATTTATTTGTCACGCAAAAAAACACAACTGTCTTTTATTGGTTAAATATATTTTCTATTGATAAATAGATTTGATGCTTAGTTAATGAACTGAAATAATAGTTTACTTACTTGCTTGCTCACTTACCCCTGTTACCCTGAATGGAGCATAGCCCCCCGACCAGACAGACAGACAGATAGATACAACACAGAACTTCGTACGTACGTACATACATCAGTTCAGGATGCCATACAACATTAGCACAGAGATGCAGTTGTCAGTTTAAATCCCGAAGTGGTAGCGATAGTAGAAGTATTAACAGTAATGGAGAAGATTAGGGTTCGAAGACATGATTCGAGAAGTATAATTCAGTGAGATAACTTTAGAAAAAGAAAGATAGAGATCATGAGGAATTCAGAAGGTTAGAATTTGAGAGAACACAATGAATGAATGCGCCTGTACCATTGCAAATGATTTTGAGACATGTCGTTCAAGGTCTCTAACCATCGGCGACTTTCATCTCGCGGACCCCAAACAGGTAACCTACATCTACCAATATGACTCAGTCCATTGGTCAGTGATTTCATGGATTTGAGCCATGTTTTGTTTTGGTCGTCCCTAGCTTTGTGCCAACCTAATCCTACACTACAAAATATCGCTCTTCATGGCAGTCGGTGGTTGGGCATACGTAACACATGTCTCAACCACCTCAACTGATGAAGTTTCAGTACTTCATCTATTGGATTGCCATCCCTGCCTAGTACTCGTTTCCTAATGGCAGCATTGCTTACTCGGTTGTCCCAGGATATACGAGCAATGCTTCGGAGACATCTATAATCTAATACTAATAACCTACGAATGTCCTCTGCTCTGACTGGCCATGTTTCTCATTCACATAGTAGGACGGAGCGAACTGCTGCACAGTACACTCGTCCTTCGGTTAGCGAACGGACATTTTGCCTGCGCAATAGGTGACGTAGGATTCTTCAACCTACTCCTAGGCCATTCTTTCCAGTTATGTCCAATTTTTGTTCTTTCTTCTCACATCTATCTTCGTTTCTTGGAGTACTGTGTCTTTCGGTCTTCCTCCTTTGCTTTGACCTTGAGGGTTTTAAGTGAGGGCTTGTCTTTAGAAAGAGTTTTATTTTATTTGTATGATTTCAATACAATATCATCGGTGAATTATTGTTACCGACGCGAATAAACTGGAAACAAGAGGAAAATTGACAAGAGGAATACGATAAAAGACAATGACAGATGAAAATTTCATTCACTTTCATCAAATATAATAAAAAGTTTTTCAATGAAATATACTCAATTATAAATTGATAAGTGAGAATGTCAGAGAAACTTTACCCTGAACTTATGCAAGTGAATGTTGTATGTTATACAGAATAAAATGGAATACTAAATTAGTGTGAAATTATATATTATGCCTATCAAACAAAATACTCAGTGGAAATAAATCTTTTGTATTAAATTAAGTCATGGTCTCGTGTTTTTTTCTGTTCAAACACAATTGACTTATTGATAACTTCGTCACGGGGTCATGAAGATTATTAAGTTACACATTTGATATAATGAATCGATCAATGGTTGGACCACTATTCGAAACCTAGAAGCACTGAAAGACGGCCGTTTCGTCCTAGTATGGGACTCATCAGCATTGCGCATCCACGACTACTACACCTCACAGGATTCGAACCTAGGGCCTTCGGTCTTGTGCGCGAAACGAACGCTTAACTTCTGGACCACCACTGATAAAACTGTTTCATTTCTATTGAACTTATTTAATTCCGTTTTTTTCTCTGTTCATAATAAAACACAAATATATTTAATTTTTTTTATCTGATTTCAGGTAATGTTACACACAAATATCATATTTGAACTGACAAGTAGGGAAGTAAACAAAGGTAATTATAGATTATATAATATTATACAGTACTTTGTATGAACATGTTTCATTTATAAGCACACATTATTTACTTAAATAATAATAATCAATTATTTCTAAGACGGCAACCATCACTGATCCACATCAACTGGAGAATAGTGGAATAAAAACCGGGTGAAATAGGTCAGCTGTTTCTCCTTTACTTTGGTATAAGTCAGAAGTGCACGCCCATAATCCTATTAGAAATCGAACCCATAACTTTTACATATTGTCGGATAAAAGGTTTTTAGCTCATGTCATAAGGTTGATAAAAAGTAACAGAAAATATTCGTAAGTAGGATTCAATAATTAATAAATAATTCAATGAAATCATTAGTGTATTTTAAATTAATATCTTAATTTAAGTGTGTGTTCATTTCGACTTGAAAGTTTCTGAATAGATATCAAGGTAGTACATTATAGTTGACTTAGGAAATTGTTACCTTGAGATAAAACAATCAACCAATACTTATTATTGTTCAATAGTTGTTCAATTTACATTGAATGCATGCATTATACAATCAATCGAACAAACAAACATCATGACTGAAAAATTCAATTTTCTTAGTAAGTTTAAATGATTCTCAAAATTAAATAAACATTATACTAAGGTGTAGACTGAATTTTCGCGCTATAACGAAAAATAATATAACGGAGGAAAAAAAATTTACAAAATATAATTAATTAGTTAAATAAATAAATTAGTGATATTCTGACATGTTTCTTGTACTGTTTACTGTTGGGGATGTTAGATCCCCAGAACTCGCTTGACAAATATCTTTATTTTGGATTTATTTCATGGACCGATCAGTCGACCTTCAGATTTCATTTCCCACCAGGAAAATCCTTGGCTGTGATTGGTTGCTGTGTCATTTTAGTGTGCTTTTTTTGTGACTGTCCCAAGGACGTTTCTATGCCGTATAAATAAACGCAATTTGAGTGCTTGGATTCATTGTGTGCTGGTTGGGTGTTTGTAGAATACACTTTCTACGCTATTTCAAGACTTCTTGCTGATACAGTTTGGCCAAGGGATCACAGTAGCCTACCTGGATGCTGATTCATTGTTTTGTTCTCATTATTCGACTAAGGTGAACTCGTAATAGTTTAAGCATACCTAGAGACGAGCGTAACATTTTCTGAATAAGTTGATCGTTTATAAAGCTCTTTATTCAATTCCCTGCAACTGATCCGCTCAACAAAGCAAGGATGAAAGCATTTTCAGAATATAATGCATTGATTGTGTTTCAGTAATATACAACCTAATAAGTTCAATTATTTTAGATTATTAGATAAAAAAATCTCTTATTGAAATCATGAATGGATCAGTGTTAGACCGCCATTAGAAACCTGAAAGTATTTTAGGGTCGTTTCATCTTAGTATAGAACTCACCAGGAGTGTGCATCCCTGAATCCAGACTAGGGAGTCGAACCCACAACCTTATGATCAGAAGTATCGTTTGTTCACTGGTGACTAGCTTCGTGAGAAACTTCTCATAGTTTTAGTGAGAAGCTATGACCTATGGAGTTCAACCTAACGCAGACAAGGGGTTGAGGTTGCGTAATAATTCGTATTGATTGACGTTAGACATTAACAGCGTTGAATACTTGCTCACTAGTCTAGAGTTTAAGCATTCGCGCGCTAAACTGAAGGTGCTGGATTCGGTTCACATGGCGGGATGTCCAGGGCTCCCAGGTTTCTGATGATGGTCTAAAATTGATCGATTCATTATTTCAATGAAATTCAACAATCTCTACAAACCTATCATGAAAAATTTGTATCGCTCATAACTTTAAGTCATTCATGAGAGCTTTGTTTAAACTGGAACTCTTAACTACATATACATTCTATGATAGCTTATTAGTTATTGACTGAAGGTCAGTTTTCTTCTAATTTTTAAATTATGCTAATTAGCTTGAATATAACTCCAGAGAACTTAACAGAATATAATAAATTCATTGTATTCTACAAAAGATATGATTCTTAATTGTTTTTTGTTCTCAATATTTTTAATCATATCAAAGTAGTTTCACCTATTGAAAGTAAACAGTTATCACAGATTAGTATGATCAATACGAATCTTATACTTTTCAGTAATGTACATTTTTAGCTATGTGTACGATCAAGTCTAATTCATGACTACCTCTTAACAATCGTATCTACATAGATTCAAAATGACATTTAACTACGCGCCACAAAATAATTTTCAGATAGAATTAAATAACTATCAAGCTAATCTTTGAATTTTCCAGTTATCATCACTTTTTAAAAAGTGAACTATTCATAAACTTATTGAGATTTCAGTCACACAAATGTCAACTAATTTAAAAGCTTTCATTATTATCCACTTTTATTACACTAAAGAAATTACACTCACTAATGAACAGAACAATATAGGCGACCAATCAGATCCAAATCGAGGCAAATTAAAACTTCGAGGTCAAATGAAATATATGTCTGAATGGGATGCGATAGTATTTCTTGGAACACCAATGTAAGTTGATTTTATTACGTTTAAACAATCTATTGTCAGTATTTTAACGTAATTAACTTTTCTCAAAACATCTGTTGTTATCATCAAGTTTGATTGAGTGTAGGTTAGGTCGATGGTTTGATGTGAACTTTTTAAATCTCAAGTTTATTTTGTTTGTAGAACTTCTGGAAATTTGTATATGTACAGCATAAATGTAACAGCTGCTAATCTGATTTTCCAATTAAAAATAATTTATTGCTGTTTATTGCTGTGAAGCTAAGAAATGATCATACCTGAATGCTAGATGAGAAATCAGAGGAGCAAGATTCGAGTCTATGATCATTTAATGATTAAAATGTTGAACAATTAAGTTACCTTTTCAAGAAAATAGAACAACTAACTGATCAACTAATGATTGACTTATTTGAAAACATCAATCAATCTTTGTTAGACCACCATTAGAAACCTGGAAGAACTGAAAGACAGCCGTTTCGTCCTGGTATGGGACTCATCAACAGTGCGCATCTACGACTCCTGCACCTCGAAGGATTCGAACCCAGGACCTTCGGTATTGTGCGCGAACGCCTAACCATCGAACCACTGGGCCGGCATCCAACGGTGTTAATGTCTAAATCTGATTGATCTACGGATTGATTGTTTTAATGAGTACTTTAAAACAATTAGTTTTATTCAATCAAAATAATAAAACTTATCGGATCATCAACTGTTGCAGAAGCATAGAAATATAAATGTCAATCAAAACAATCAATGAATCTTCCTTTTCTGCACATTTTATCAACTACTTTATGCATCAAATAGAATAATGTTTGTGTTGGGAATGTTAGATCCCTAGAACTCGCTTGATAAATGCCTTATTTCGGATTACACGTTTACGAGCATGGACTGATCAGTTGACCCTCAGATTTCATTTCTCACCAGGAAAATCCTTGTTTGTGATTGGCTGCTGTGTATTTTAGTGTACTATGATGTGACTGTCTCAAGGACGTTTGTATGATGTATAAGTAAACGCGATTTGTGTGCTTGAATGCATTGTGATTGCTAGGTGTATGTAGAATATACTTCCTACGCCATATCAAGACTTCTCTTTAGACGTTTCGGATCAGGGTAGCTTACCTGGACGCTGGTTCATCGTCTTGTTCTCGTTTATCGACTAAGGTGAACCCGTAACAGTTTCAAGCATATCTAGTGACGAACCTAACTGTTTGGACTAGTTTTATATTGATTCAATATAATTTGGTGGAGCAATGAATACAAACACAGGCATGGTAGATTCAGCTAATCTGATTCTATCATTGCTGACTGCTTCTAGACAAAGAAGGCAAGAAATGAATTGTACTCATGTGGTATTTTAAATGCTGTACCTGTTTTTGCAGAGTAAATCAACAGTGAACATAGTTTATTGGAAAAAGGTACAGAAAACTCTAGCTGGAAATAGTTAACTCAATCATTATCACTGATAATTATTTGCTAAGTTTTTCTTTCCTTTTTAAATTATTATTTTAATTTACTTGTAAACTTTCAATATAACTTCTCATTAATATTTATAAAACATGTAAACATTGAAAAATTCATGTTTTATTCCATAGTATAAAGGGGTTGAATACAGTTAATTGATAAGAAACAGCTGTTAGTGTTTAAAAATTAACATGTCAGCTTATCGTATGACATAATAGGAAAACAAGAATTTTTGTTCAAAATATTTAAATTAAAAATGATCGTTTATTTATTTATTGATTGATTCTGAACTGGTATTTGATTAACATTAGTTACAGTCAGTATAGGGCTGCGGAGATTGTTGAGTTGTATCAACATCATGAATTGATCAACGTTTAACTGTCATTGAAAAGATTGAAGCACTGGGTCACAGTTTCGTATTACTATGGGACTCCTCAAAGGTGGGCATGTATGATACCGGAAATGAGAATCGAGCTCAGGACTTTATATCTCACACTCGAACGCACAACCTCTTGACAAGCTGTTGAATTAACACTCAACGGTGTTGATTTCTAACTTGAATCAACATACCATAATGCGTGACCTAATCCATTGTCTTCGACGAACAACTGCCTGACACCTAACATGGTTTAACTTCGCTGGCCACGGATTCTTACTCGAACATCGAGAATTCTCTTGCGAAGTCAGTCGTTTGTGAGCACAAGATAGCTGTCAGTATAGGGTTGTGGAGACTGTTGAGTTGCATTCATTTCATGAATCGATCAATGTCAAACTACCATTAAAAAGATGGAACCACTAGATCACCGTTTCGTCTTATTATGGGACTTCTCAGGGGTGGAAATGCACGATTCTGCAAATGCTAACCGAACTCAACATCTTAGATATCACAAGTGAACACTCAATCTCTTGATCAATGAGTTAACATCCAACGATGTTATAGCATCTAACTTCTATCATTCTACGATATTACGCAATCACCACTCATTGTTTTCAGTGAGTAACTCTACCTC